TTTTTTTTTTACTTATGTGCAGTTCGCTTTACAACGTCATAACTAAGAAAAATTCCCATTACACTGTAACCCAAAGAGCCCTCAAAAAAGAAAATACTTCAAGAAATGTCGGCGATTGCTTCCGTCGAACTGAATCTCTGCACAAAATTGCGACGCATTATGGTAAAACTGGATGAATGTGTATAAGACGTTCACGGTCCAAGTGGAGGTTACTAATTAAATGCGCGAACAAGTTTAGCTATTTTCTCATCCTTTTAAGCAAAGAGCTGAATGCGCTAAGGAGTAGTTTGGAAATCTCAATTAATTTAATGAAAATCTACATGCAGGGTATATGTAACGAGTGTTCTCAGAGGTATTCTGCTCTTTGTTCTCTAGTTCTTACCTACACTTTCATATTGAACTTGAACTTGAACTTGAACTTGAACTTTATTTTTATTTAGACACGGTAAATCTATCAGATAAAATGATAATATTATTACAATCTATTATTACAGTTACAATCTATTTTAATCTATATAAACATGATCTAAAATTTAAAAGTGAAATAGAAAAAAATAAAGAAATTCTGCTTCACACACGGCATGTAAAGCAGAATTTCTTTATTTTTTTCTATTTCACTTTTAAATTTTAGATCATGTTTATATAGATTAAAATAGATTGTAACTGTAATAATAGATTGTAATAATATTATCATTTTATCTGATAGATTTACCGTGTCTAAATAAAAATAAAGTTCAAGTTCAAGTTCAAGTTCAAGTTCAATATGAAAGTGTAGGTAAGAACTAGAGAACAAAGAGCAGAATACCTCTGAGAACACTCGTTACATATACCCTGCATGTAGATTTTCATTAAATTAATTGAGATTTCCAAACTACTCCTTAGCGCATTCAGCTCTTTGCTTAAAAGGATGAGAAAATAGCTAAACTTGTTCGCGCATTTAATTAGTAACCTCCACTTGGACCGTGAACGTCTTATACACATTCATCCAGTTTTACCATAATGCGTCGCAATTTTGTGCAGAGATTCAGTTCGACGGAATCAATCGCCGACATTTCTTGAAGTATTTTCTTTTTTGAGGGCTCTTTGTGTTACAGTGTAATGGGAATTTTTCTTAGTTATGACGTTGTAAAGCGAACTGCACATAAGTAAAAAAAAAAATTAACCAATTTTTTTAACCCATATGAATTTGCTTCTTTTTAACTGAAATTTTTAGGTAGTAAAAGAGTATTATTATACTTTATCGTACAAAAGTTTTGTTTCTTTTTATAGCTGTTCAAATAGAGATTAAAAAGATAAGGCACCTTTCCCATTCGAAAGGAGTTCTGATTTCTGTTAAGTGTTCTGCCGAGCAGATTTTGGAAGGGTTCTTTAAAGGTAAGTGTAAAAGACAAATCGGATCTTCAAAATTGAGTCATCCAGCTTCAAGGCTTATCCCTGTAAACCTCTAAATTTTATTAATTCCAGAAATAATTGAAGCATATCATGGTGGACTATACACGGGCCCTTTGGGGCAACTTGTTAAACCATCAGCTGGGGTTTCAGTAACTTTTTTTTAATTATCGCTGGCAGCGCCCGTGGGCATTATGAAGCGAATCATGTGCTCTGATTGGCTTGCCCGCTTTTGACCTAACTTTGACCTAACGCTTGGTCAACAACGCATATTTCCATAAGCGGCTGCCAACTGTGTTATGGACGGCTGTAACCGGGACCGTTAGGCTAAACCCAGACACAACAACCTACTTCCAAACTAAGCAGACTGGTGATAGTCATGACGAGTTTCGTGGGCAGAAGTAGACCGCCAGTAACCAGGTTACATTGAAACTCCCGCATTTGGCATGATCACCCAGCCGCTGAGGTGGACTTATTTGACCGTCTGGAAACACATGGAAAGGACTTTTGGTCTAAGAAAGACATAAGGAATATAACTGTCCCATGGCCCGCTATCCAAGCACCAGCTACAGTATCTTTGCATGCGCTGTGGCTTTTAAGTTGAAGATAGTGTTCTTGCCATACTAACGTACGTCTTTCTTTTCTTTACTCTTCAATTCAAGTTCGTGCAGACTGTCCTATAACACCCGAGGGTTTTGAAAAGAACCTTCCGGACCACGCAGCACGAAAATTCATTAAAGAGATACAACAACAGTGCTCAAGTTCCCGCGGTCCTGGGCTTCTTGTGGGGTCCCGTTCATTTCTTGCCTCTATAAACAACAAGGGTGAAGATGTTAGAGGGAGCCGTCCAGTTGGTGTCATCTGCGACCTCCTCCTATTCAACAGTAACGCGGGAGGACTCCTTCTTTTCACTGTGTGCGACCCAGTCGAAGACGACGAGCAGCTCCACGCTTACAGTCACACTACCGCCAAAGCCCTTAAAAGATTTCTGGTTGTGCTTGGAGGCTGCCTTGAAAAGTTTTGCATCATCCCTCAAGTGCATGTGTTACATAGGCTTACACAAAAAGTGCATCGAATGCGATACCCCAATCAATACCAGCTAGCTGGGAACGATAAAAAGGTAAACAAAATTCTGGAGTCGTTGGTGAACGTTCTGGCGGTAGTGCCTTCTACCCTTTCAAGTAAAATGGGTATCAGCTTCTTCAAACTCTTAACCATGGAGCAGTTCAGACTGGTACACCAAGAAATTGACCGTTTTAAGGAACTGTGGATAAAGGGTGTAGCCGGAACCGGTAAGACGGTTGTAACACTTGAGTTCATCAAGGAACTTCGAAATCGTGATCCCAGCCTGCGAAAAGAAGAAATTCTCTTTGTGTGCGAGAACGTTGGACTTAAAGAACAAATGAGGTAAGTTTAGGAAAGAAAATTATCAACATCGCAGCAGGCAAACAGCTCTAACAACAACAACAACAACACAAGACAAATGATATTTGAATTAAATGTCAATAATATTTTGGACCAAGGTAGGAAGTAAATGTAACATATTATTTGTTCTCGATCTTGGTTTCCTTTTTTGAGAGGTAGTCTTGAGATGACTCCGAGCATTATGGTTGATTCTTACTTGGTTGGGAGTTTTTCATACGGACCATTAAAGCCACGAGTCCTGTATTTCATGTTGTCTGAAGCTGAACAATTCAAAATTTGCGACTGAAATCAAATGTATACATTTCTATTCTCCCAAACAACAACAATAAGGATTTCAAGTTATTGGTGTCTTAATTGCGACGAAGGTGGAATGGCTAATCGTAGCAAGGCTATGAGAATCAGGGGAAAAATTAATATTACATGTTAAAATCACATATGTGACCAAGACAGTATTTCTCCTTACAATAATAATACAATATCAGCAAAATAGGAAACCAAGATCGAGAACAAATAATATATGTTACATTTACTTCCTACCTTGGTCCAAAATATTATTGACCTTTAATTCAAATATCATTTGTCTCGTGTTGTTGTTGTTGTTAGAACTGTTTGCCTGCTGCGATGTTGATAATTTCAATTTAATTTCAATAATTGAATAATTTCAATGTTGATAATTTCAATAATGGGATTAATTGTTGATCCAATACCAAATTCTCCTTTCTAATATCATAAGAATTGTATTGTAGATGGTAGGGAGAATTACTAATGAGATCTTACGAGTGAGAGGGTTAAGTCAGCCTTTTTGCCCCCCCCTCCCCCCAAAACAATGTTGTATCGTGATTCGATGAACTTTTAGGTTCATACAGACAACATTGAATAAGGGAGGGAGGTTGTGATTCTGTCGGATACACTCAGTAAAGACTCGTTGTTGCACTGAGTCACTTTATTCGCTTGTTTTTGTAAAGCAAAAGATCAACTGAAAATAGATCACCAAACGTTAACCGATTCGGTGCACTTAGAACGTAACAGGATATTGAAAAGCGAAACGATATAAAATGAATTTACGTACCAACATTTGCGGCTCTAGTTCTCGAGAGGATATCCAAAGACGTGCGCTCACCAACGCGACTAATTGTTTACTAAAGGGGGTAAGTGAAGGTGTAGTCTGATCGTCCGAGTGAGTGTAGTCCTGAGAAGGGCTGTTGTCGGTGGTAGTGACTGACGTTTCGACAACCTGTGCGGAAGTCATCATCAGAGTGAAGTGTCATTGACTCTGATGATGACTTCCGCGCAGGTTGTCGAAACGTCAGTCANTGAACCACTAACAAAAAGTATAGTTGTTGTTTTTTCTCACAATGTAATCACTTCCGACGTGTATATCTGCTCATTTTCAGGCGACAGCGTCACCTAGAAGCAGCCTTACAATTCGTTGACAAATCATGTTTGAACAGTCTTATTTATGTGAATAACACTCCTTTGTATACCACAAGACCCCTGTTACCGTGACGTCATAATCTTTATCGATCTTATTACAGTATATGAAACGTGATTAGTAAACAATTATTTTGTAAAATCAACTAAGTTGAAATTGTGAATTGGCCACCGTAAGGAGTTAAAAAACAAGAACTATACTTTTGTTAGCGGGAAAAGTTTGGATTTCACTTAAAGAAATTTTGGTCACTTTCTTGTTTGTTTTTCCTTGATTTAAGTGACTAGTACTGTGCGGTACAGGAAACCTTTGATATATTTTGGTAAACTATTTTTTAGAATATCGGTGATTTTGTTATCATTTTCGAGCGGTACATTCATCTAAATAGCTTCAAGTGAAATACTTTCTATTTTTTTCACATTTCAGCACACATGGAGTATGTACATGTCTCTGCCGTAAAGGCTTCATGTTGAAGAGGGGCTATACGCCTGAAAAAGTCAAACATGTCATAATGGACGAGGTCCAAAGTTTTAGGGATGAAGACCGCTGCCCACCGGAACACTACAGCTGGTTAGAATTTGCGAGAATGCTGGTAAGGCAGCAATCAGAAGATGATGATGACGATGATGATGTGGGATACTTGTGGCTTTTTATTGACATTAATCAAGTAAACCACTATTTTCCAACGGGCATTCCGGATGTAAAAAAGCAAAAACCATCCTTCGTTTTGACGCAAGTCATTAGAAATTCTAAGAGAAAATTTTGATTATGCTGTTAACGAATTTAAACTTTCCAGTGAAATTAAGATCGGGCATGATTTTGAGGGTGAAGAGGTTGCGATTGAAACTTACCAGGAACGTGAGCAGATTCCTAAATTAAAGTCAGTTGTTCAATCCATCCTTAGTAAAGGGTACTGTATAGATGACATTGCTATTCTTTATAGCATGCAAAGAGAAATACCTCAGGATCTTGAACACGAACTCGATCTAGGGAAAATTGTTACAGCTGAAGAAAATTCCTCTGAACATCTTGTAGTGAGCACGTTTCGTAAGTATAGTGGGCTAGAGAGACCTGTAGTAATACTTGTTAATCTAATGGGGTCGCTCCCATTCAATAGTCGCCCATACGAATCCATGTATTGTTCGGCAACACGTGCTATGGTTAAACTTGTCATTTTGAATCAGTCTGATAACTAAATGTCGTGAACTGTGTTAAATGTTTGCAAAAGGAGCAATTAGGGTTGTTTGTTTTTTTGTTTTTGCTACCACAGTGCGTGGAGTCTAGTTCACTTGTGCCTATGTGATATACATTTTAGTTTCAGTTTTTATCTGAATATTGTCTCAAACAAAACAAACTAGCGATTTTCAATTGTGATCGACTGCAAATTTTATTTTGCACTTAATGATTGTATCTCGGCTTACAGTACAGCTGCTGTTTTTAACGGAGTACTTAACAGTCTTTTCTCGTGCAGCACTTGATTTTTTTCGAACTAGACAGTATCTAGCATAGTTCACGAAACTTTCCTATGTTGCACCTTAAAAGAAGGAAATGCAAGTAGATTATTTTAGAGGCGCACACATCACCCTCAACTCCTCCATTCGCTCTGACGAAGGGCTAATGCTCGAAACGTCAGCCTTTTAACTCTTTACGGTGGCCATTATGCTATTTCAACCTACTTGATGTAACCAAATTATTTTATTGGCGCTATAGCATGGTATGGTTGGTGTTACGTAACAGCAAACAATATAGCTCGTTAGAATTCGTATTTTAAGTCTATGTTGCTGTAGTTTCTAGAGAATCAAGCCTGGATCACGTCACACTTTTAATATGAATCACATTTAATTTTTACAGTCTAGTTTGTTGCAACTCTTGAATGTTTAGTGCATCCCAAAATGTGCTGTTATTCAATCTCTATGCGTTGTGTAGAACTTCAATTGTTTTAACATCAGGACAATTAATATGTATCAGTAAATGTATATAGAAGGTGTTTTAGGTATCATAGTGGTTGTTTCTACACACTAAACAGAGAAATGACATTAACTGAAGTAAAGCATTATATAATACGTGAAATAATATTGTCTTTGTCTGTGCATTCCTTTGAACGAGCAGGGATAGCGGAGCTGAGAAGCTTTAGCCCCCACCGCCACCCTCTAACTTTATGCGGGGACAACATTTTACTTTTTTTTTTAGTGTGAGTTACGCATGATGAAGAAAAGAGGAAGGAAGAGAAAAGAAAAGTCAGGTTCGCCACAGATTATTCCATGAGATCGCAATTTCAAATTTTTTGTGGGAGATGGCATCAGACTCCCAACAAACTCAATCCCTTGGTACTCACTTCCAAGTCTTCCCTCCTCCCAGTTGAAAGTAGGCTCTTCCGTCCTAGAATTGGATTAACCTAGAAGGAGTTTGCGGAAGAATTGCAATTTTAGGCCTTCCCGCCTAAAAACAAGAACTTGGTAAAACGCCATTCATTCTTAGCAAGAATTCAACATTTTTTCGCACAAGTGTCAAGAGAAATTGGCAGAGACATCATTTATTGCTGGGATTGGGTAGTTTTTTTCCTATCCTTCTAATTACTAGAGCGAGACGCGCTGGTGTCTCAGAAATGTGGCTACCCTGACTTAACGGCGCACGTATGGGTTTAGAGGTACGAATTTAGGTCCTTGTCATCGATCGCGATCACGAATTATAATTTTATCAGTGGCTTTTTGTCTCCTTCGTAAAAAAAAATGCATGCGTGCAAATAAACTTCGCGGGGAAATTTCAACGCCGCCTTAATTTAAGCAATAGAAACGCTCTAACCTGGCATAAGTTCGTAACCTGTGAGGGCGTTTAATCGTTATATGGGGGGGAGGGAGCGTCTCGGGCAAACTATCTCTTGGCGTCGGTAGATAGTGTCAATATTCGATGGAAACAAAAAAGAAATCGTACTGGCAAATTTCCTTTTTAAACGTTATTCCCTCTACCCTCGATGAATAAACTATTCTAATAAGTTTGATGTTCGATATACCCCGTCATTCTCGACTCTAAGTATTCCGTATCACAAAATAATTTTTTTTACCATCTTTCCCGTGCCCCTTTAACTATTCCTTTCACTCGCTTTTTCCCGCTAGCCCTACTTTATATTTTAAAACTTTACATTTTCCTTCATGTATGTGTATTCAGGGTGTAATGTCCCTTCATCGTCAGCAATTTTCCGACCCCCCCCCTCTAATACTCGACCCATTTCCTGTCATGCAGCAGTGCGATCTTCGCTCGTCTACATTAGTCTACGGAAGTCGTTGTCTTGAGGTTTGTGGAATCTAAAGGAAAGGACCGGATTGTCCTAGATTGTTCATCAAAGGATTCAAACAATTCACTACCGTTGTTCCTGGTAGCAGCTAGGCCGTAGGGTAAGTATTAAGGCGAATAGACAAGTTCAGACTGAGTCCACAATCGGAACTTCATTAACGCTTACTCGGCTCAACCTTTGGCGAGATCTTGATGGAATGAGGCTTCTCTGGCTGTGTACTCTGGGTTTCAAGTTTACTGAGTTCAAATTTCCGTGGGTTCCTAATAGACTAGGAGTTGAGAGTAACTTTTTTTTTTAACTAGAGAAAGGAATCGTCCTCAAGTACTTCCGTGTGTTCACATGTAGCTTCTATCTGCTCGATAGATAGGTTGACATTCAAGAGTTCGGCATTGTATCACAAGGCAAATGGAAATTTCGTTATCGAGTGGAATTTGATCGACCCGATCCATTTTAAGTCTAACGCGTTTCTCTTGTCTTTTTTTAAAACTTTTTGGCCGCCAAATAATAAAGTAATAAGCAATCAATTAGTGCATACAACTACAGTAACTGTACCATGATGTTTGTTCGTAGTAATCTTTTGTGCTCACTTTCGAATTTTTTCCTTCCCGTTCCATTCCCCTCAATGTATTTCCCAACTAGTCCAGATAGAGCAAGCGTGCGTAATTAAACAATCATACAATAATGTCATTTATATTGGAACTCGTTGTACCTATATAATAATTTTTTATTCTCTGCAGGTAGAGGCCAGAGGGCCTTCTGACCCACAATGTCGAATAACTCAAATCGGGTTGGTATCTTTTTGTACCTCAGTGATCTTTTTAAACTAATTTATGCGAGTATATTTGTTTTTCAAAATATTCCTGATGACATGTAATTATAAATCAGTGGTGTTTAATTTATTATATTTTGTTCTATTATTCTTGAATATTGGGAGGTAAGTATTCCATTTACAGTGCATATTACGTTGCCTGCACGGTTATTTTCTTAATAAAGAAGAACTTGGGCCTAAAATTTTCAAGTTAAACATAGGTTAATTCTGTTTTGATCTTCTAGCCTAGCAATTGTTTTTTCCTTTCTGCTTGTTCTTGGTAGTCACCTCTAAATTTGAGGTAGTGCAGGTTTATGGTCTATTAACTGCCACAAAATTGGCCACCATAAAACATGCCACCACTCAAAGTCAAATAGCCATTGGTGGTGATTTGACTCAAACGTTATTTGTAGCGCCCATGTGAAACAGACATCAAATGAAAGCTAAGATGTAAAAGTATATTGCATTAAACACGAAGGTGCGCTATAAAAGGAGCCTTATGTCCCACTGGACCATTTGTCAATCAACCGTCGTGTGCTGTAGAACTCTTAGAGTCAAGTCAGCTTGAGCTACAGCTACTCCAAAGCAGTGAACAGCGGGCGCATTCCTCAAAATTGTTTTATGTCTTCATCACAATACAAGAATTTTTGAGATTTGTATTTCCTTTCTCCAATGGAAACTCTTTATTTGTGGCGGTAAATTTGAGATCGAATTAGGTGGTTCACACGTTACCTCATGCCACCATGCTGGTGGAAGTAAACAATAGATATCTCATTAGCTCCTTTTGTTCGTCTACCAGCATTTAAATTTGACCCGCACACGTCAACGGTGAGTGACAAATGAGCCTAGGTCTTCCCAGGGAAGACTTCCTTATATAGCGCGCCTTCATGTTTAAGGGAAAGGGTCTCAAAAGCTATGTATAGCATCTCAATTATGGAACATAAAGCAGAGTAAAATATTTAGATATCATCAAGATTAAGATTAGTTTGTAATCAGTGAAACCAGTTATACTGGCAGATTGATTTTGACTGAGTGATTTTCTTCAAGTGATTTTTGCAGATATTAATTGTATCGCAGTAAATGGTTTAATTGTATCATATGAAGTTAACATCAATAAAGGCCAAGAAGTAGATGTACATTTGCCACACTTAAAGCGTGTACAAATACAGCAAAGTTTATACTAATGGACCATTTTGCAAGTCTCAGAATACCATTTTGCAGCTCCTTTACAATGGCTGCTTGTTTTTAGCTATTTTAGCTGTATTATATGGGTCATCATCATCATTTTCTTTTTTCCAAGGGAGACTTATTGTTCAGACTCAAGCTTGTTCATTCTTTTTTGTTATCCTTCCTCCTCTTCATCTTTCTTTCTCCCACTTTTTATGATATCAGGAATACCATGACTAGTTCTGATAAATTCCCATACCCTTACATTTTGGGTCTTTTTGTCATTTCCAGATGGTCCTGATAGGGATCTATGGCTGATTGCTAGGTGTCAATAAGGCAGTGGACTTAATTTTCCTGACTGCACCATTAATAGTTGGTTGATTTCTGTATTTTCAGGTACCCTGGTCTCGCGGAACTGAAGTGGTGGGTAAATTCCAGTTTAAGGGCCGGACAGGAGAGGTAGGTTTTGTGCCCTTGGATGCTTGAAACATTCATAAAAAAACACAAAGATAAAATGGAATGTCTCGTTCATATTTTAGAAGTGTAGTACAAAAAAAGACATGAAATAAGTACCTGATGATCATGAGTATTTGGTCAAGTGCTCTTTCAGTGAGTTATAAAAATTACGGATAGGATACTTCAAATGATTTTTAACTTATATGTATATGAACTAGGAAGTTGTAGGTATAAGAAACATGTTTTTTAAAGAATTAAAGTGTACTCTCTGTTATTCAGGATCTTCCTTTTGAAAAGGGTGAGGTGCTGTGTATTGAAAGTGTTACTCGGGTGAGTATGTGACCAGACAATTTCTGCCACAGTTCTATCAAAAGAACTCACTACATTATTACGAATGACTTTGTACAAACATTAAGTGAAGGATAATTTCCTAGATAACCAGCACCATCTCAATTATTCATCAATATGGTTTCTATCCCTCTGTAAGGAATCCACACTTTTTGAGCTTTGATCAGCTCCATCATTGAGTGTTTTGCTTTGTGCTTCTCTTTGTGGGTGTTTTCAGAGTGGTGTTGGTAATTGTATTCAAAGTACTACTGGCAGAGAGGTGGCCATGCCAGAGAGGTGGCCATTTGCGGAGATTTGACTGTATATTCTAGAATGAGACAGCTATTACTGTAATGGTAAAAGTGCCTCTCAGTAACAAGGTTTTAGCTTATCAAGACTTGTTCTTTGTGCAATGATTTCTGGCTATTGCCAAAATAGTGTAATCATTGGAAGCCTTTGTCAAGTTAGGAATATCCTTGCTTTGTTTTTATAAGAGTGACAAAATCATTCTATCTTTATTGTTGCATTAAAAAATATTATATGGCCTGAGTAAGAGACTTTGACTAATCCTATTTTTTTAGAGCTATCAGCTGTGTGAATGAATAGAAATAATTGAAAAATACCACTGAATTGTGTAAGCTAGAGCATAGATCTAACATAATTCCTGCCAATATTTATTATTCAATTGTATGACATTATGTAGAGAAGAAAAGACTGTGTGCAGTCACTTAATAAAATAACTAACTGTAGTTTAATTAGGACAAAAGGTTGATATTAGTTTGACTTCTTATCTTTAGGACCCCAATTGGTACAGAGCTTCAAACTCCGTTGGACAGAAGGGAATGATACCTTACAATTATGTTGAGGAAAGTAAGAGAGCTGTAAAACTTCATGCAATGCCGTAAGTTGAGATTTTTTTTGTTAAGATTGCCACCGGTAATAGGATTTTCACTCATTTCTAAGAACTTCAAGGAACATTCAGTTGCAAATTCACACTAAGACAGAAAACACAGGTATGAAACAAGAATAATTAATATGTAATAAATAAATATATCCATAAAAATGAGAGGGTTCAATCAGTGATTCTATGGGAAGCCAAGGTACTGAGTGGAAAGGTGAATGTTTGATTAAAACAGTTGGTAATATAGACATTGTTTTGTTTCTTTCAGATGGTTTCATGGCAAGTTCTCTAGACAACAGGCTGAAGAACTCCTTGACCCTTATGATGAGGGCTTGTTTCTGGTTAGAGAAAGTGTCAATTACCAGGGAGACTATTCTCTTTCTGTTTGGTAGGTGATGAAAAATGATCTTCTCTCTGATGATTAATGATGGAAATAATGGTTACATGATGGATTTTTAAGACCCTTTATGTGCTATAAGGGATAATTATTGTGTCCATGTTTTTGATACATGTATATACTGTATTAACCCTTTCTCTCCCAAGATCTGAATTTTAATTCTGCGCTCTAGATCCTACACATTTCTGTGTAGATTAGTGTGGAGAATTTGGTGTTAGATCTACCTGATATGTTTTAGTATTCTCATTACCTGTTTGTTGAATAGTGTATGGATATTATAGGGAGAAGTTACATGTGAATCACTTCTGGGAGTTTAAGGGTTAAATACCCCCCTAGGATAAGTTTGATTCTAATGAGATGTGTGTTGTTCAATGGAATTTCATCAGCTATGGTGGCAAAGTTGAACACTACAGAGTAAGGTACACAGATGACAACAAACTCACTGTGGATGATGATGTCTATTTTGAAAATCTCACAAAACTTGTCGAGGTATGTGCTGTGTAAAGTCACACTGTTTACTTTTGATTAATGCATCCATGCATAGTGTTTGTTTGTTTTGGAAACAGCCCATTTCGGGTATTTTTTAAATTTTTGTTCAGCCATTTTTTTCTGTATTTTTTTTTTAAATGGTAGGTGACCTGAGTGGATCATTAATTTTTCTTGGTTTTTCGCTATTCACAGAAGAGAAATGACTAACTTGATAATCTTCAAGGAATGCCAGGTGCAATTTGTATTTCCTCCTTTATTGTTTAGCATTATGAAAAAGATGCAGATGGGCTTTGTACAAGACTGGCCAAACCCTTGAAGAAGAAAGGAGGAAACTATGATTTTTCTGTTGATCCAGAATCATTTGAAAAAGGTGCACAAAAAATTGCTTAAAATCAGATATTTAGGTACGCTAAACTGTTAGTTTTTGCTAGATTAATGTCAGACGGCCACATTTCAAGTTTGTCAAAAAGTTTTCCTGATGATGTTGTTTTGAGAAAATTGTGTTGTTTGTAAACTTTGAATTTGTTACTACTGACAGTAATGATTTCATCAAAATGTACTGTTCAACCTGCACAATTTACAAGTATAGCATGAATTTAAATTGCGGCCTTTGTTTGGTTTTCTCTATCAGAGGGCTGGTCTATACAACGCAGGGAATTGTGTCTTGGAAAGTCTATTGGAAAAGGAGAGTTTGGAGGTATGACTTACAACTTTCAGCAGAAAGACCTGGTTTGTGATCTGACAATGTTGATCTTACAAATTTTCTTGGGCATTAATGGTAAAAATATTTAGGTTTAGATGGAATTCTTTTACTGGAAATTCCCCTGAGTCAAACTGAAAATTCAAATAAAATTCTTTTTTTAAGTTTTTAGTGATGAATTATTAAAACATTGGTGTTGTATTTAATTCAGATGTTCTTCAAGCTGAGTACAGAGGAAAGAAAGTAGCTGTCAAGTCCCTGTTAAAAGACACTCATGCCGCTCAGACCTTCCTAGCAGAAGCTTCCATCATGACGTATGTTTGGATCTGATTGTAGACCATTTCAGCTGCAATCATGATGTTGTGACAGAAGTATATCTTTGATCACCAATACTTTTTACAACTTACATGTAAAGATTGGGTGTCACTTTGCCTACATGACCTTGCATTGTGCATTTAGCTTTCTCCATAAGCCATCATCATTTTCTTTTACCTCATACCCTTTCCTGAGCCTTTTACTATCTCTACTCACTAATGTAAGTACCAGGGAGCTTATCTTCATTCAATGTCATTTACAATATGGTTTACACATCCTTTGTTTGTTGTTGTTTTTTTTTTGCAGGAATCTGAATCACAAAAACCTTGTTAAATTAATAGGTGTATCAGTTGGAAAACCTATTTACATTGTAACAGAATTTTGTGGGAAAGTAAGTGAAAAGTGTGCCTTTTTGATGACAACTATGTGGTCTTATGACCACTTTCAGCAAACCAGTATGCATTTGTTGTATAGTTTGAATGAAACAGAAGTTCTTGTTAGATCATACCTTTAATTCCTGAGAATAGAATTGAAGCTGTTTTCAACCTTTTCCTGTTACTTCAATCCCCAGGGAAGTTTAGTAGAATACCTAAGAACAAGAGGAAGGACTGTGATAGGACAGAAGGACCTAGTAGGATTTGGAAGGTAAACTTTCACACTTGACATGAATTAACAGGGTTCGTACGCATCTTGAAAACCCTTGAATTTCAGGAGGCCGATTTTAAGGCCTTGAAAGTACTTGAATTTCGCTTTGGATCCTTGAAAGTCCTTGATTTTTTATTGAACAACATTGAAAAATATCTGCTTTCGTTTTGCACCATTAGTAAACCCAAAACATAGATGTTCACAGAAACATTTTTCTTGGTTTTGAGGTAAAATTGTTGTTACAAAAAGTCCTTGAAATTTCTAAGTAGGGTCCTGGAAAGTCCTTGGAAAGTCCTTGAATCTTTGGCCTGAAAAAGTGTACGAACCCTGAATTTAATGAAAAAATAAGTTAACTGTGTGAAGACATGAACAGAGGGAGATGCAATGACAATTGATTTTTCCTGATGTAGTCATTTTCCTTTTGTATAAGTGGGAGAGTGAGTGGGACCTCAGGTTAAGAGGTGTTTGTTCCCTGCCTGGGTGATTTTGTTATATTCTTGGGCAAGACAGTGTACTCTCCCAGTGCCTCACTCCATTCCCATGCAAGGGTTGAAAATGGTAGCAGATCAGAGAACTGGTGGGAAAACCTGACAAACTATAGGGGGGGGGGGCATTGGACTGTGCATCCCATCCAGGGATAGTAGAGATTCTTGAAGTGGATTCATGTACAGAAACAAGGAAAGAATGATACACAGATGACAACAAACTCACCATGAATGATGTTGTCTTTTTCAGTGTAAGCAGCTTGGCCTTACCTTTTTTTTCGGTGCTTGACTAAATACTTTGAAGTTCTCTTTAGCTTATTTAATATGCACTATTTTCCTTAAACAGGGATGTTGCTGCTGGTATGGAGTATTTAGAGTCAAAGAATTTGGTCCACAGGTATGTGATGCCTCTTTAGCCTCCATTTTAGTGTTAAGGCAGGGTGTCAAGTTCCTATTTTTTCCTATTTTTGGGGGGGTTTTACTAGGTACACAGAAACATTTTGAAATATTTGAAATAAAATTGCAAATAAAATTTATTAATTCTACAAAAAACTGAAGCTTCATGTCAAAAAAGACCAGTTTGAAACCTTTATGAGTGATTTTCTTCTGAAACTAGTGCCCAGACTTTCTCAGTGCTTTTGATAACATGCAAGGGATTCTGGGAGGTTCATTTGCATGTATGTGCATTTGCCATGTTGAAGTGGGGCTGCAATGTATTATGGATGTATGTCATGGTGCCTGTTGAATATTAAAGCATTGGGTTGTGGAACAAGAGTTTCTGTTGGGAGTGTTAAGAGGAGAAGAAATCCTCCTGTTTTTTTTTTTTTTTTTTCCTATTTTGGAGTGAGAATTCCCATTTATTTCCTAGTTTTTGGACACTGTCATTCCTATTTTCTTACTTTCTAAGTGTCATTTTTCACTTGACACCTGTTAAGGGTACTTACTAAAATAGTATGCTATGCTTTCATTATCTTTGAGACTGGATTGAAAGAACTAGTCTAAGAACTGCTTGTCTGAGATATTCATGATTAATGATGATGATTATAGTACCAATCAATAAAGTAAAATTGTCATTTTTTTCTTTTGAACATGAGTGCTGCTTTAGGTCTAGGTTGTAAACTCCCACCCACGCTGCTTGATTTGGCCTTATTTTACAGTTTCTCTCAAGTCAGATAGTGGTATGCACAAAAATGTCCATTGCTTAAGACAGAAGTAAAGAAGTCATCTGTGCCATGATTGCACCTCTTTCTGTAAATCACCCAATACATTGAAGATAACCCTTTTTTATAGGAAGTAAAGAATAATTCTACTGTTTGATGTTGTAATTTATCTCCAGGGACTTGGCTGCTAGGAATGTTTTAATACATGAAGATGGCACAGCAAAGGTATGTCTTTTGTTGTATTTTGTTCTTTGCTATGGTAGTGGTCATCATTTAGAGGACCATTGTTATTTTTTAATTGGAACTGCAAACCGGGTAACTTAAAGTTTGCAGCCCATTCAATCCATATTTGTTATCTGAGATGAAAGTCAATAAGTGTCTACGAGTGTCTTTCTACCGTGGCAGGTGTCAGATTTTGGACTTGCACGTGAAGCCAACTTTAATTTAGAAGGAGGAAAGTTCCCTATCAAGTGGACAGCACCTGAAGCCATCAAACATGGGGTATGTTGAACTAAATATGTTAAGTGCTCTAATAAGCTAAGAAACTGATCAATGAAACATTGACCATTATTTACACTACTTGCTTAGCTCACATGAAACACAATGAAACCATGCACACTGAGTACTTTGCAGGTTTTGATTAATTAGGGGAGAGGAGGGACATCAGCTCATAAGAGAGTGTTGAATGTTAAGAAACCCTCCAATGGTTTCTAAAAGGGGTTCGATTGAGTGGATTAAACCACACACAATAAACACATGTAGTCTAACATGGTGGACCCCCACAAGAACAGGGAGTGTCGATTTAATGCCCAAACATTCAAACCGCTGACAATACATGATAGAAAGGTGATGTTAACTGGATGCCCGAAGTTTTAACTAGGGGGCATAGAGAGGATACCTGTTAAGCTCATAAGAAAATTTGCAACACAGAGTTTATCAATTTCAGCCAAAGTACAGACAACTAATTGAAAATCCCTGTTTGGTAATTTACTACCTGCAATGAAGTTGCTTAGGTATGAAACTGACAAAGAGGCATGGTTGTAACCAAACTCTTATCAGTGCACTTCCTGTGTTTAATTTCAGAGATTTTCAACACAGTCTGATGTGTGGAGTTATGGTATTTTACTATGGGAACTGTTTTCATTTGGTAGGACTCCATACCCCAGAGTGGTAAGTGATGCAAGATTTAGCTCTTTCACTGTTTCTTTGTTGCACCGGACAAAGCCTGTTCCAGACATTCAGTTAGTAAAACAAATCATGATCATCATTGATGGTAAACAGCATGATGGTTGGGTTGTGTAATAAACACCAGGAATGTCAAGTTGTGTATCTATTAATTATTTTCAGCACATAGATAGTGTGATGGATAAAATTGAAAGTGGGTACCGCATGGAGTGTCCAGATGGATGCCCAAGTAAAGTTTATGAAGTGATGAGAGATTGCTGGGACATCAATCCAAGTCAACGACCAACATTCCACAAAATATACACAACCCTAGAGCAGGTTCATCGATCATTTTTACCTGTTGGAAACTGATGCTTTCTTCTTGAGTTATATCTACTTTTTGGTAATTAGACCAAAGCTTTCAGAGTGAGAAATGTTTTGATTGTCAATGTCAGTCTATCTTTTCATGGTGAAAAAAGTTTAATTATTAACTCAATGAAGTGGTTGCATCTCATTTCATTTCCACACAGAATTTTGAAGAAATTTATGACCATGTTGCCTTAGTTTTGTGTTTCAATTTTTTTTCTTCTACTTGATTAGGAAAGTTTCTTTTGTTAGTCTTGGCAAGAAAATAAATTTGTAAAGTTAGCATTCAATTTTTATTTATCTTTGAATTTCTATGTTGAAACAATAGCTATTGCTTAGCCAATAAACAAATTGGTAATTAATGCAATATTGATATGGAAATGACAACATGCCTAGGTAACAGTATATAACAGATTTTTTGTTAGACATCTGTGAAATATTTATCTGATTCATTTTCCACATCAGCTAGAGATGTAATTTTAGTGATAGACAAAAATGAAAGAAGACTAACATGCATAAATCATATGATTTTCTTTTGTTCTATTGATTTGCTCACCCCAAATAGTTCATCTAATCAAGCAGTGTTTTTATCTCTTTTTACCCTGAAGGGATGAAGTCAGAATTTAGAATTTAGCTCCAAACTCGACAATTTCTTACCAATCCTCCAAAGTTAGTGACAGTTTTTGAAACTATAAGGACTTAAAATGTATATTTAATGAACCTTGGAAATCAGTGTCTATTTTATACACAAATAGTACTTTTGACTCTAAAGCATTTAAGCAGTTGAGCTGCAAATGTGTAGGTCTAAAAGTAGTGATGAGTAAATGTTTGCTTGTTGGATGTTACTGGGTAAAGAGAAGAAAGTTACATATAACTTATTAATCAGTTCCCTCAACAATATCCTTGCATTATTTGGCAAACTATTGATAGTATGTCACTTAGATATTACAAATCAAATTCTTTTAGCTACTTTTAAAGACAATTATGGTAATCCAAAGAAAGACACAATGCTACGACGCAGTTTAAAGATTTATTTTTGAAACTTTTAAGACTTATAGCAACTGTATTAAATCTGACCTCACAGCACAGCCTGCTGCTGTGTTGAAAGAGATGCATTCAGGGCCTAATTGCATGTATGTTGTAAGTCCAAGAGATACTTTAGGAGCAGGAAGCTTTTCTAGGTGCCCCATAGATAAAGGCAGGCTCTACAGAAAAATAACAGGTTCACAAGCAAAGTTTTTGAAGTAAGGAGGTGTTGAGGGGTGTAAGAGAATGTAAAATGGCCAATGAAGGCAAACAATGTTAAGTTGCCCCTGTTTTGGTGATTGGATCTTGTTGCTTTTTTTATTCCGAGGACTGATGACTATTTGCAATTATTATTTGCCAGATTACAAGCTAAGGCTAAACACTGGCACATCTCATTGGTTCTCTTTGATAGAATGGGAAAAAAAAGCTGTTGTAGGTTTTGATCTGTGGTTTAGCAACATTTTTTTCTCACTTAAGAGCAATTTAAGTAATAATGGAAGTAGATAAATTAGTTTCACATTTTTAAGCATCTGTAGTAATTTCAACTATATTCATATCCTTTAATCCTTTGATCTTCCAATCACATGGTAACCTAGTTCAAATTGAATCATTGGAAACCAACCAATGCATTGTTTCTTTTTTGATTCACATAAATGATTTGCCACAAGAACTAATTTTAGACCATGGAAATTTTTGGTCGCTCTGTTGACATTGCTCTGTTAACATTGGTGAAATCTCAATGTTTGAATATTGAGCATCAGCAGATATAAGTGAAAAAAATCAATGTTAAGTTCTTTGCACATCCAATACTTTGTAAAGGAAGAATCATTTAGCTTGAAGAACTTAAAAGTTGTACAAAACTAAAATATATGGAAGGAATATTACTTTAAACTTCATAGCAGTGTTATTATTCTATGCCTTAATCTGGAAGTTTAAATAATTTTATTGTAAGCTGTGTTTATCCTTTGTCACCATCCATAATATCCATTTTTTTAAATTTATTAGGATTAGCAATTCTCTGACCATCTTAAAAATTGTTTCTATTGAAAAGTTCAATCTGATACTTCTTAGACTAATTTTAAACTTTAAAAAAATTTTGGAGTCTTCAGTTTTTGTAAAGCATGCAAAAAAATGTAATTTTTATTGCATATCTTCATTTAATTGTTGTAGTTCTGTCTTTGGTTATTCTAATTTCTTAAGTTGTCATGGATATGGAAGCTATTTTTTATACACAAGTGTTTATAGGAATAAAGAACAACAGTTCTATAGGGTGAGTGATATGTGTGTTTGATTGAGGGAGGGTTATCATTGCAAAGGCAGATTGTTTGATTTATTTAGACTTACAGAGTGTGCTATCTAAAGTGTACTCTGAGTTTGATCTGATTTGTGGCAAAACTGAGTGATGGGGACATCAGAATGTCCTGAGAATTGGAGATTCAGCAACTAGGGATTGGAAAAATTGGAGTTATTTAGAGGTGTAACAATTATTTTTCAAAATAACACATTTACTTAAATAAAGCAGGACTTCAACTAAGCATCACCTTATATAAGTGCTGCCTTTGAAGCAAAAATAATAGTATAACCTCAAATAAGTTGCTATATCCTGAGCAAGGTTTGTTAGAGGAATAAAAGTAAAGCTTATTAAGTATCTAGTGCCTGCAAATAAGTGCTGCACCTGATCCCCAACCCGCCCACCCTTAAAAAAATAGCATTAAACTCTAAGGCCCTTGAATAAATAAAGATTCTTCAAAAAAAATTTATTATCAAATACACGCAAGTACTAATTTGAGGCACATGTATGTCATGATGAACTGATTTATTCTTGTTGTTTCTGTAGTTTGTAGAATTTTCAACTTGATTGGTTGCTTGGATTAATACAAATTTGACTTACATTGTCCAAGATAAATCCTGAACAAATTTTAACTACAGTCATGATGTTTTGTAATTTTCTAGCTATGAAAAGTTGCTTAATTTCAGGACTGTTTATATTTTGATTGCCACATTAAATTGTTACTAATAAACTACCTGTATTATCAAACCCTGCATAGTCATAACCTTAAAAGGAATTATCATACATGTGTTTTTCAGGGGCTTGTTTATGGGCAAGGTATAGAAATCCAATACTTGAAAGAGCACTTATGAGGAAAATCACATCAAACCAACGATGATAGAAATTGAATTGAAGTTCACCAAGTACTTCTGTGATTATCTCCCTGTATTTACCAGGCATGTTCATGCTCATTAACAAGACAGACGAAACAAAGTACATCCCCATGATTTCAGCCAAAAAGAGAACAATAATATTGGACGATTTACTGCTTGCCATCGCATTGAAAAACTTTGTCAGTGTTATAAGGAGACCTCTTATCGATGTCACAATTAAGATTCCAATCAAGAAGAATGAGATATGCTGTGACCAGAATAAAACATCAAACTTCCAACCAAGATAATTGACAGTTATTTCAATACCGCGTGTGACAGGATCAGTCTTGCCGACACGATCAAACACAATGTTTACTGTTGAGATAAAAATCTTCCAAATACAGTAGCCAGAGAATATATGCCCAACTAAGTCAAAGTATTTTCCTTGCAATGTCTTTGATAATTCCATTCTCTCTTTGGTATTGTGCAGATCCACAATTTCCAGGAACAATTGTCGACTGAGTTCTTCTAGAGCATCTACCTCTTTCTGGAGATAACTGGTGTCAGGGCCACCACTCCCTGTCATACTACTGAGCATGCTCCAAATTCCTGGTAAAAATATTGTTAAACACAGGAGAATAAACCCTAAGTCTTTGGGTAAAATGTATAGATTAACAGTAAACCATTTAAAAATTGACACGATAAAAAAAAGTTGAAATTCACCCTGCTACATATATCAAACCCCTTATTTGATCCCTGACAGACCCAGTATTTATAGTGATTCTGTAGATTATCTATCAAAATCAGAGATATTGTTGTACAGTATACTGCTTTAATAAATACCTTCCTCAGAGAAAATCTCAGCCTTTACCCTTCTCATTCAACACTCGCATGTACATTGTACAGCATCCATTTTAATAAGTTCACTGGCTAGGGATGAGATGAAAATAACACCATACCTGTCTTTTGTTGAGTAGATGCAGCAAAGCGCTGACTCTCCCTTTTTGCCAGAGCAATTCTTTTTTTCTTACTGAGAATTATATCGATTGTTTGGAATTGCCTTTTTTCCAGATTTTGAATATCCGCATCGGTCACGTGTCTCATGAAGTATGTCATGTAAGTGTAGGGGCAATTAACTGCACCAAATCCAGACAGTATGGCCATCATCGTGACCCCAATCACCCCCACTCGGCTGATTCCCTGCTCGATCGAGAATATTCCATGCTTAGAACTCAAAATTGGGAACGGATTTCCAATTTTCCAAAACATGTACAAAAAGGCAAGCCAAAACGTACCCGCCAGTAGAACTACAATTCTCCTCCTGTGAACAAATCGAATTGTCCTTACCAGGAAATAAGATATGTAGAAGGGCAGAAGAAAAATCAAGGTAAATAACATGGAGTAAAGCCCGAGTTTCCAGTGAAAGAATCTTGAGCTCTTGTCCAGAATCCCTAGAATCTCGAATATGACTAGTTCAAACATGGTGCATGAAAGAGCGAAAGTTAATGAAAAGACCAACTGAACAGCCATGTGGTGAACTTCATAGTTTCTAAATAGCCTTCTCATGAAAAACATCCAACCCATACCGAAGAAGAAGAACTGTGAGCAGAAAACAACGGAACAATCCGCAAAAAACGACATTTTGTCTTTGCATTTGCCACGTCTAGCTTTACACCGAACACCCTTCCGAAGACAAACGAAAGCTGCACGATACTAAGCCGATGAATGGTTGCACACCACACGAAGACTGTGACGTAGCGAAGGAAATTCCTGAATACCTAATCGACCAATCAGAGACAGGGTGGGTATTTCAAATACTGTTGTCTAACCACGCGTCGGTCAAACTACAACTACGAGAAGCTGATGATCAATTCTTAAACGCCTCAGCGAGGTTGAAGCGATAGTCTTTTAGAAGTAGCCCTATTCTATTGTAGTGTCGTCTAAATTTTAATTTTTTATCAAGCTTATTTGCAGTCTTTGAATTCTCATTGAAGATGGCAGCTGTTGGACAAATGAATGTTAGTTCAGTTCGGTTTTTGTGAATGTCGTTGCTTCTGAATATTGAGAGTTCGTAGTGAATCACTTTTGTAGAAGAGCTCACTTCTTAGAATATCGTTCGTAATATCTCTTTTTTTTAATACAGGTAATCCGTCATGACCAAGAGAACGAGAATTTACTAGCTGGGAAAGCTAAAATTTCCAAGAACGCGAGACCTCGTGCAGCTCTAGGTGACTTGGGAAACAAACCTACAGCGCTCACGAGTAAGGTAAATGTTCTTTAAATTTATCAGCCTTTTCATCTCCAACCTACACTAGTTCATCTATTTCTGATGGTTTATTAAGCTAACTGTGCATTTGTCCTTCCTTCAGACCGCTACGAACCTTGCCGTTGGCGCTAAACCCAAAAGAACTTTACAAAGAACCGAAGGAACGAGTGGCTTGCTCTCGAAGCAAGCGAAAGACAATGAAGCTAAACAACAGAAAATGACGATTGATATGGGTGTTGTCAGTGAAGCGCTGGAATCTTGTATGTTCGCAACGAAACCGTCAGATGTCGTAGATATCGATAAAGATGACTACTCTAATCCCCAACTTTGCGCTGAATACGCTCAAGAAATCTACCAGTACATGCACAAATTGGAGGTAATGAAGACGCCATTTTAATTTTCCCTTGCATTTGCATTCTTTCTGAAATTAAAGAACGTCTCTCCTATGGATACTCATGTAGCTTGCAGTGAAAGATTTATTGAAGTTGTGTGTTAAATTGTCTCGAGGTAACGAGTAATTCTTTCCTGAATTTGTCTTTTGAATTTTCAGCGTAAATTCCACGTCAACCCAAGATATATGAGCCAAAGGACGACAATAACCGATAAAATGAGAGCCATCCTCGTTGACTGGCTTATTCAAGTTCACAATCGCTTCCGCCTGTTGCAGGAAACCCTCTACATCACAGTTTCTATCTTGGATAGATTTTTATCGGTGAGCTTTAATGAATCATCTTAAAGTTGTCAACCAAAACCCTTTTAGCAAACTTTTATTCTTGAATTCCTTGTAATCTCTCCTTTGTAGCGAAATTAGCTTTCAAGTTTTCTCATAATATTAATTCAACAGTTGTCAAATAAAATCTACAGTGCTATACAGGAGAGATACAGTTTCCAGTGAATAAATGATGCTATTTGCTTTTCTTGTCACTTGATTGCTGGATGGAAATGCACCGATATTTGGATTTGCATTTTAATGATGTTTAAAGTTTGTTTGTTGGGAGTCAAGAGCCAACTTGTCAGGGCCTGTTTACATGGAGGTGGGGTAGCCCACCTTCCCATATAATTTCTTATATTATCTTGATTATGTTTACATGACAGGTGGGATGACCTGCCTAGATGGGTTGCTCAGTCTACTTGGTTGGGTAACCCTGTTAGCCAGGGCAACAATTTTCCATGTAAATGTCTCAAGGTGGCATAACCCACCTAGCCAAGTTTGTTTTAAAACTTTGTACATTTCGTTGCTGTCCATACAGAACTAAAGTAGAGATCACTTATAACGGGAACAGACACAAGAGGAGTGTAAAATGTTCACACTTCGGAATATTTAGTATTTTATGTTGACCATATTTGTTTTCTCATACTATTCCTCGTGATGTATAATGGTTCAAATTGTCAACATCTTTCTCAGATATGGGCTTGGGGTGCTAGCTTAAACTCGCTGATTGCAAGTGCAAGAACAACCTTAAGAAACTGCACCCCAGGGTTGTAAGACTGCATGTAAAGCATTTCATTTTTTGACCACAGTGAGGTGGGCTACCTGCTACCTCACCTACCTGGGGTCTCCCACCTCTGTGAAAACAGGCCCTTAAGCTCATTGTTAAAATAATGGTGACAGCATTTCTCTCTTGGAGGAAAGGAATTTTTTGAAGCTTGCCAAAGTGTCATTGCAATCATAAGCATTGAACATGCAAGGAGATGTCTGATTCTTGGTACCAACCCATCATCTTTCCCTGATAGTTCACAGGTACAGTGTCTCTACCCAATTCTTGCAGCAATAGTCTGACCTCTAATAACCTTTTTTTTTTGTAGATATATGATCCCACAAAGGACGAACTTCAGTTAATTGGTGTTAGTGCTATGCTTCTGGCCTGCAAGTACGAGGAGATGTACTGTCCAGAGATTAGCGATTTTGTTTACATCACAGACAACACATACAAAAAGGGTCAGATAAGGAAAATGGAGGGTATTATTTTCAAACAACTTGAGTTCAGTGTTGGAAAGCCTCTATGTCTTCATTTCTTGCGGAGAAATTCCAAAGCTGGCGAGGTAAGCAATTTTTGCAATTGTAAGAGGAGTAAAAAATTAATTTGAGGATCCCCTTCACTAGCTAGGAAGTAATTGGTAAATGGTATGATAACCTTCCTCCGTAATCCTCAGACTTGACCAAAATAAAAAACCAATTTGTGTTAAAACAAACTCCCTTCTTATTTTATGGCATGGCTTACAGGGCTTGAATTTAATTTTGGATCACTAAACCCTTCGGGTCAGTAGACATCTTTTTTTACCAACCAAATTATAAAGTTTGGTATCCAAGCTCAGAAGTTACGATATCTCAAATATTGAACATTTTGATAATAATGACTAGGACAAATTAAAGAGTAGCTGAAATTGCTTGGTGAACAAAAAAATGTTGACAATTATGCACCTATTTTATTTCTCTCTTGTTTACCATGATTAGTCAAGAACAGTATATCTACAGCACATTCTCAAAAAAGAGTTATAGTTGACTTAACAACTTGAGTATTCTAAGTATTCCTCTGAGAGTCGCGTTTGTGCTCTTTGTCCTGTGGTCTGCTAATGTTTAAATATGTTAAAAATTTTTACTTACAATGCCGGGTTAGTTGGACACATTTTTCGTAACCAAACATTGAAAATTACTAGCCATTGGTTAATGGGTTACCATTAATTTTGAGTCCTGGCTTAACCCTTGGCCTCTATGAGCAATTCTCACATACCTCCTGACAATATCACCCTCAAATTGCTCATCATGGAGGGTGGTAAGGGGGGGGGGGGGTCAAGATCAGATTCCACAGAAACTAAATGGGTCCTTTCACAATTCATGGTCATTATTAATTATTGTCAAAACTACAACCAAAATCAGGGTTCACAATAAATTAAATACTTTCTTATTTCATGGAGAATTATTTTGGCAAATCATGGCTCATGGCTACTCATGAAATTATGATTCATGAGAAAAAAAAGCCATTTCAAGGGAAAAAGCCATTGCAAAAATACTCGTTACCACCCTCATCACGGTCACAAGAATAAGAGAAATAATCATCACCAACTCAGATTAGAAGCTCTTAGATTAGAATCTTCCTGTCTGCACTCTAGGAAATATGTAGAGAACACTAGTGTATGAGTATATGGTAGGGTGTAAAGGGTTAGAAAAGATTCTGAACAGATCAACTCTGAAGTATTTTGAACTTGGGTCCAAAAAAAAGGTTAGCATTATTGTGGTGGATAAGATGCTAGCTAGATTATAGAGTTGCAGAAATACTCTTGCACTACTCATTTTTGTCTTCAGTGTGTATTGATAAACTTAGTTTCCTCCATATAGGTTGATGGAGTAAAACAGACCATGGCAAAGTATTTCATGGAGCTTTCCCTAGTGGACTATGGCTGTATGAAATTTCTCCCATCTGAGATTGCAGCAGCTGCATTGTACATTGCAATGAAAGCAGATGATGGATCAGAGTGGACACCCACTTGTGAATATTACAGCATGTACCCAGAAAGTAAACTACTGCCTTGTGCCAGAAGACTTGCCTCTCTCATCACTAAGACTCTTGATGGAAATGCTAAGCTTAAGGTAATAAATGGATGTGAGCAGAAAGCACCCAAAGAGAAATAGCTGTTTTTTAGACATGGATCAGTGTGCCTCAGCAGCAATATTTTCACTGCTACTTTTTTTACCCAATAACTGGCTTCTTCAATAAGACAAAAACACTATTTACCAGTGGTACTTTTGAAATAAATTTTACCTGTTGCTGGCTTCTAACCCAAAGCTGGCCACTGAAAAGTAACTGGAAAACATTGATGAATTGCAAAGGGTGGCAGTGTTTAAACTCTGATTTAGGGATGACTTGAAACTACTTAAAAACATTTTTCAGCAAGAATGTCAACTCTAATATTTGTTTGATTGCTACTCAAAGTTAACAAATTCTCAGTGTGATATTGTTTTCATTCTTTCAGGCAGTTTACAACAAATATTCAACCCCCAAGTTCATGGAAATCAGTAAACGGTCTTGTCTGAAATCATCTTTTGTGATGAACCTTGCTGCTGAAGACTTGCAATAGATTATTATTAGTGTTTATAAATTAATATAGCTATATTACTCTCAGATAACTTAATGAATTATTTGGCTTCATGAAGACAAGCATCAAAAGCTGAATAGGGTTTGCTTGATTTTTTTCACACTTACAGAATTGTACTAACAATACCACTGATCAATTAAGTATAATCTACAGCTTTTCACAAAGTTTACTTATTTCCAGACATTCTGTAATTTTCACTTAATCTGTTTAAAGAGGCTAAATATGAGGTTGTCACAAGCTTGGCAATAGTGTATAACAATCTCTCTTGCAATCTGTAAATATGTGTTTGTCTGGATTTCTTGAGTAGAGATGTGAATTAGACATCAGAGAAAGACTTGGAAGAAACTGAATGTGAATGTATATTGAAACCCAATCATCAAAGGTGGTTGAAAATGCACTTTGGAAACTTTGAAATGATGTAAATGTTCTTTAATCTTTATTTTTATGATTTGTTAGATAAGTTGTGTTGTTTGTAGAATTCCAAATTTTCATTTTGTAACAGGTTATATATTTTGTAAATATCATAAAAGTTAGCTTCATTTATTTTCAATAAACAGTAATCTTTACACCTGTTAGTCATCAGTTTCTTGTAACAGCAGTTGGTCTTGGAGTTGAATTAACCCTTGCTACCTTGGATTTCAATTTACTCACACATGAACACTAGACTTACCTAAAAATAATTTTCTCTGGCATTTTCTGCAATCTACCCTGATCTCTAAATTTAATGTGACCCAGAGGAACTACTGGGATTATCAAAACTGCAGCTGCCAAAAGTATCTAGAACAGGATTATTCTTTGTTAGTTTGGAATGAGAGATCATATTCTTAAAGCACAATTGACTTTGATGAAAGCAATAAGAGAAAATCAAGTGTACTTTTGAGGTGTCTTCAGATATTATTATTAAAGAAATCACATTTTAGACATTACTCAACCTTGTTCACTAAGACAAAGGGGTAAATTTCAAAAGAAACTGTGGTGCTTGTGTCAGGGGGGGTAACAGGGTAATTTGGTAATACCAACTCAGTTGAAATTGTAAATTGCCATTGTGAGAATTGAAAAGCTGATGTTTTGAGCATTAGCCCTTCATCAGAGCTCTGACCAAGGGCTAAGACTCGAAACATCAGCTTTTTAACTCTACGGTGGCCAATTTACAATTTCAACTTAGTTGATGTTACCAAATTACCTCATTCACTAAGCCATACATTTCACCTCCTGTACATTAGACTGACTTGTGCAGGTAGCTGATTCATTTGGAGGTTCAATGAGATTAAAATGTACATAACAATGGACCTGGAAATTGAACATACACCACAGGGGTATCATTTTAATTACATGCACTTTTAGGACTAGAGTACACTGCTTGCTGATGCATTGAAACTGAAAGGCATATGTGCAAGTGCAGCTTATACACCTGTGTTTATGGTAATTTGTAAAACTACAATTTTCAAAATTGTCTATGCTTGGCTGTTGACTGCAGTTTATCAGAGAAGCATAGATTATGAAGGTATAACCAAGTTCACTCATTTTATCATTATTATTTTACCAATGTGTAGCTCTGTATCATTTTAATTGATAAAAGTTTGGGTAAATGAAAGGGAAAAGGCTGGGATAATTTCATTTATTATCCAGCTGCACAATGTAGTTGGATAATAAATGCATAACATGCACACAGAGTACAAATACCCTGCAACTTTGTACAGTTGGTCATTTTGTACTGTAAAAAAACCCTGTTTAACTGGTCAGCTGCAAGTGATATGCATCTCTATCTGCTTTGCTTTTCTTGCCTTATGAAAAATGAGCAGAAACGCTTGACAGAAAAAATAAGCAGTTGTATAATGTATCATATTTTTCATTGTTTCTATTTTGGCTCACCCTATGGGCTTGTCAAAATGCGCCAAAACTCGGAAAAAATACTCAGCGCTAATACTCACCATAATGTCTGGTAAGATATATATATATATACATACTTTTGCAGCAAGTGAATATGAAAATGCAATTATTGAGAGAAGAAATGATTTATTTGTAACTTTTACAAAACAATACTACAAGAGGCAATTATAGTGTTTTAGGAAAGTTTCTGGCTCTGCATGGTGCTTGTTGTGAAACAGGAGATGAGCTTAGCTCTCCTCAGCTTCCATTGATTCCCCTTCAGGTTGTTTATCACCTGCATCTCCTTCACCAGCAGCCTGTGTTCAAACAATTTCAAAAAAATATTTAAAAATGAGAGAAAACAAATAAATAAAAGTAACCTTACAAAGGAAAGAATTCAATACCTGAGACTCTGCTTCCATAGCAACATCACCAACAGCCTTCAAGAGAAAACAAACACAAAATGACAAGAATTATTAACATTCATGTGATAGACTGAGGTTACTCTTATGGCAGAACAAGATATGGGCTAACCACCTCCCAGTTAGCTCAATGGGTAGAGCGCTGGACTGATGTGCGGGAGGTCAAGGGTTCGAGCCCTGGCCGGACCAACACTCAAGGTCTTAAAATAATTGAGAAGAATATGCTGCCTTTCTATAACATCAAGAAATGGTTTAGATATTCTAGTCTTCTCAGATAGGAACAAATAAATGGAGGTCCTGTCTCCTGCAGGGTTAGGGGTAGGAGATGTTAATTTCCCACGCACGAGATTACTGTGTGATGAATGTCCTCCCTTGGGGTGGGATGGG